TTTAAATCATTTGTGGGAGTGGGGCAAGTCTTATAATAACTTAAAATGTAATATAAAAACTTGTTTAAAAAATTGAAATTACTTCACACATTAATGGAACAATAAATTCTGCAGAATTTTTGTTCAGTTTACATTTAATGATAGAATTAAGAAATTAATTCTAAGGTGGGCTGATGTCTGCATTTTGCTGCTGTATGGAACTTGATAAGGATATTGGTAATTTCAAAAACAGGTAAAAAAATAATTTCAAACAATGATTCAAAACACCTTTTATGAAAATGAAATGGTGAGCTCTGTTCAAATTAGGAATGATTACATTTTCTTTTGAATTAAATATCAAGTAAGCCAATGAGGAAAACAATTTTGGCAATTATTGTATTAAAAAAAAAAAAAAAAAAAAAATTAAAGCTACAATTGTATGTAAAATCAATAAGAAAACAAAGTTAAGGTGTTTTGAAACATTTCAGAAATGTCCTTTTGATTGAACACAAGAAAAATAAAAAGTCAGATACACGTCATAAATTAGACACTTATTTTAGTTTTTTTCTTTTTATTATAATTTTGACATGAAATAATTTGCATCTTGTGACAAACTCCTCTTCGCCATCCTCCTCCTCCTCTAATACTCCAGGGGTAATTTTTCGTGGGAGTGGGGGGGGACTTCCTCCAAGCCTCTGTCTACATAAAAATATTTTGTTTCCCTATATTTATTAAACTAAGAAAAAAGAGAGAGAGAGAGATTTATATTTTGTAGAAAAAATGAACTTGAATTTTTTTAGCTTTAATAACCCACCCACAAAGTTTGAAAGGAACACACAGCGTTTGCCTAAGAATGCTCTCTATAGGAGGATTAAAAAGCATGAGAGCAAAGAGGAAAAAAAAAAAAAGCAAGGCTTTCTTAAATTATAAAATTATCTTCTGACCATTGAAGGCATTGAGGAAGGGGGAGAAAAAAAAAGTGTTTTCATATCAAAGAAATTACTTTTATTTTAAAAATAGTCATTAATGTACAGGGTGGTCAGAAAGTTATGTCATCCCAACATAATATAATTTCCTATTTCAGATGGATGACACAAGCTCCTACAGTTTGGAAGGGAGATAAGAGACTTTTGGACCACCCCGTATTATGATGTAAACACGCATTAAAAAGGAATGGGATGTGGGTAGGTCTTCATAGTTTTATGGTTGTTTCTGTTTAAAAAATTTGAAAGCATTTTTAAAAGAAAATGGTGTTTGCCCGTCTCAGCATTTCTGTCCCACTGACAAAGAATTTTGCCTTTCTTTTGGGACATAACGCATTCAGGAAAAGCAGAGGGAAAGACTGCAAATTCCGTCATTCAAAAGGAACATCCAAATTTTCTTTGCATTCATAATTTAAAAAGGAAAAAAAAAAAAAAAAAAAAAAAAAATTGTTGACATTTGATTTTATAGAGAATAGAGAGAAAAAAAAAAAAAAAAAACTTTTGGAATCAGGAAAGCAGAGAAGAAAATATTACATATGAGGGCCACTCAAAATAAAGTTTTCTCCTTAATGAAAAAGAAAAAAAAAAAGGAGGAGAATTTATGCGAATGAGTTTATTTATTTATATACTAAGAGCTTGCCCTAAATCTTATCACAGATAGCAAAAAAAAAAAAAAAAAAGTTCAAGGTGAAGTTGTGGAGACAGGGTTAGGGGAATGAATATAAATGTAAAGAAATATATATTTGATTAGCTGGTCAGTATATAAGTTTATTAAAATCTACTAATAATTATTATCATCACCATTAAAATATTCTAACTCATAAAACTCAATATCAGTATCACAGAATTTTAGGGATAAAGACTGAAGACATTTCACAAAATTATAAAGAACATTTTTTGTAATACTAATTAAGAAATAGTTAATGTTTTTTTTTCTTTAAAAGTTTGGTATAAAAATCAGCTGGATATATTTCCCAAATGACTTACAATCAATATAGACAAGTGCATATGCACACATACAGGTAGTATACACTGAGAGAATCACCTGTTTATTCTAGGCAAAATAAGAATTTTCCACCATAAAAAAGCGCTTCAATTAAGATAAAAAAAAAAAATTTTTAAATTAAATAAAAAGGAACAGAAATAGACAAAAGAGTTCAGAGAGGTAGCGTCTTTTTCCAGATTGTCTTCTTTGCCCTTAGTGATGTTGAACATACTGAAAAAAAATTATTTTTGGCTCTTGGACTTAATAATTTTTTTTTTTTTTCACAGTCTGTTCAAAAACCAATCACTGTTGTCAAACTAAACAGAAAAAAATCAAAACAGGTAAAATAAAACTCTTGGGACTTGCTTAAGCAGAGAAGTTGCAAAAAGAAGAGACAGGTGGTCAGTAAAGACACAAGTCTTTTCAAAAGAGAACTCCAGCAAAAGCATTTATCCGTTCCCGAAGGAAGCGACATGTCGCAGTTTTATTTCAGAGCAGTGAAAACAATAAAACTGAGAACCAAATCAAATGGTGGAGTCAAACAATATACAAGTAACCATTTAAAAGAGTCAAGTTAGTTGTATAGAGTTAGTTATTCATGGCAAATATGCCTACCCCCTTTCTTTTTTAGGCTTTAATTGGTGGGGATGAGGAGAGAGCCAAGCCAAGTCGCTACAACTTGTCATTTGTAGGGCATTTTGGAATGATTTTTTTTTCTTAATTAGTCTGGAAAACATCTCTTTAGAGAATTCCAACAGACTATGTTGGGAGAACTTAATAAAATTTATGCTGCAGAAAAATAAGGCAGACACTTAAAAAAAAAAAAAAAAAAAAAAGATTTTTTTTCTTTTTTTTGGAGGGCCACCCTCCCATCCCCAATTAATTGAGTGGTAGTTCATCATTGCCTTATTGAAAATTATCTTCAGAACTATAGAAAGAAGTTTGTGTATAGACCTCCAGATATTGGGCATAAAATATAAGGCTTGCTCAAGAGTGAAGTCATATTGGAATTAACAATTCACTTAACCTAAAATATTTGCATAAAGTCTCATTAGACTGACCTGAAGTCTAAACTCTAAGCAAAGATACAAATAAATATTTCAGTAAATTAGTAGAAAGACCAAAGAATTTATTGAAGAAGCCCATTTATCCATTGGATTTTATAAAAGAATAAGGAAGATAATTTCTATTTGTCTGGAAATTTGAAAGATAGAATAATTATTTATACCTACTTTAATTACAATATATAAAAGAAGCTCTCTCAGTGTATGAGTAAAACTTTAGCCATTTTCATTGAAATGCGTTTTTCCTAAGTGTGTGTTATTCAGGTAAAATTTGAGTCTGAAATGATTGTACCCACAAGTTAAAAAAAAGTGGGCAGGTGTCAAATTTCTGTCACCAGAATAACCCTGAAGAAACTTTTTAATTTAGTCATTATAAATACTCCAAGATCTAAAAAGAGTAAAGGGGATAATAACCAACCTTACAAAAATAGATTAACATTATCAATGTTTATGCACAAAGAAATAGACTAAGAACATTTAATCTTCATTCAGGAGAGGGTAGACAGAATCTAAATCACACTAGAATATTAAAAAGGAGAAACAATTTTGACATGTAAAAAAAAAAAAAAAAAAAAAAAAAAATACATGAGGGCGTATCTCTAGACTTTTATAAATTTAGAAATAAATATATAGATAGTATACCGATACACTAAATCTCTTCACAGAGATAATTGCAGAATAATGTTTCTATCTCAAATTTACTTAATTTTGAATATCTTTGTTTTTAATACATGTTAAATATATGTGGAAAGTCTCAAGCCTTTCTTTTTAATTGGATAAGGTGGATGGGGGAATTCCATTTTAATAAAACAATTTCCATTACACCTAACACTGAAAATAAACAAAGAGGTTCCTTTGCTTTGATAAAAAAAATGTTCTACAAGTTTATGCAATTTCATAGTTAACAGCTGAACATACATCAATGAAATATTATTTTGATTTCCTCTGATCAGAGGTAGGTAAGAGAAAATATTTTTTTTATTTAACCAAGACATTCTGAAGCAACTAAAATGATTTTAAATTAAGCATAAAATGTTTAAAAAATTATAATTTAAATAGGTTTTTTTTTTCCTTCTGTATGTTCAAAAATTCTAGTAAGCCTGGTATTCAATAAATAAATTATTTTTGTAAAGATAATTGCATAAAAAATATGAACAGGACTGTTCAAACAGGGCCCAGCTGATTGATGACTAAAATAGTCGATTTTAAGAAGGGCTGACATCAGGCATTTTGTTTCCTAAAGGAAAGGGGCTCTAAAACATAGGAGTAACTCAGAGGAGGGGATTTATGGTGGGGGGTGGGGAGAAATTTTGAGAATCTTGAGCAAGAATGAGAACAAAAAAAATGTTGATAAAATAGATATGAAGGGGAGGAGGGAACAAAAACAAACAGAAAAAATCCATTGAAATAAATAATAAACATTAATCATTTTTCTGTTTTGTGGAGATGGGATCCATTTTGGCCCTTAATATGGTCAGTATCCCCAAGAGGCAAGAGGAAGAAAAATGGGGAAAATAGTGACTTTTTTTTTTTTGCAAAACCCTTAATGTCATAAATGGTCAGGGTAATGACCACAACAGCTTCATTAATTCAGCAGGAGTTAATCTATTGTGTTTGAGAATTAAAAACTGTTGGGAGTCAGCATTGAGACCGTTTTCATCAGATATCAAAATGCTGTGAGGGTTCCTTCCAGATCTCTTGCTTTCTGTTTGGAGATGAAGAGTAAAAAAAAAAATTCTATTTCTTCCCCAATATAATCCGGGATGTTTTTTCGCTTTTATTTTTCAAAGAATGATTTTTTGGTTTCGATATTTTTTACACTTGTAAATTTCTTCATTTTAAAAGTTGTCCATTAGTGTTTATTTTTTTTTTTTTTTTTTTTTGAGTTTGTGTGTTTTTTTTTTTTTTAAAGTTTTAAAATTGGTTTCAATATAATATATAATTTTTTTAAAACTTTTTTCCCTTCTTTTTAACAAGGGAAGATCCTTTTCATAACAACAGCAAATCTTCCACAGATTTTTGGTGCACAAAGTCTTCTAACCGCTTGTTATTTTTGAAATATTGTTCAACACTATCCTCATTGAAAATATCTGTGCCAAATGATGGTTGTCGTCGTATCCGATTTTCTGCAAGCCTAGAAAAAAAAATATCATAACCTCAAATTAATACATTGGAAATTAAGCAAGTATAAAATGTAATAATTAAATATAGATTAGAAACATTTTGAATAAATAAAATGATGTCAAATTATTTTACAATTTGAATCGTAAGATCAAATAGATTAATGTAGTCTTATATTGAATAATAACTAAATATTTAATACAAAATTAGACCTTTTACTAAATAAGAAAATTAAACTTACCTTGAGAAACAGTCATCTAAATTATCTTCATCAAATTCTTGCTGTAAAAAGAAAAAAGTAAAGTGATTTAATTTTGACAAATAAATTTAAATTTTATTTTTTTTAATCCATCTTCCTAACTAGATTGTTGTTTAAAAGGGAATAAAAATATTTAAATGCAATTTAAAAGCATTAAAATTATTCTTAAGCCGTTAACTGCTTAAAACACTGATTAGAAGTTGTGTATGTGTACAGACATTTATAGCCAACATTTCCTGGAAATACACCAAGTTTACAATCTAACAAAGCCTGTGGCAAAAATAATAGTTAAAACCTAACATTAAACATCTGTCTGTATTTCTGAGATGAGGTATTATGATTATTTACATTATTTAGACTTATCCTCATTTTCATTGCCATATTCAATATGGCAATGAAGATGAAGATAACAGTCTGAATAATGTAAATAATTAACATTAAACAATTTGCTACTTACTATTTATATATTTTGATATTATCTATCAATAATATTTCCAATTCTCTTTACATAATTTATCTATCTCTATATCCACTCCAGGCTAAAAGTTTTGGGACCACCCTCTGCATTACAAAGACTCATTTAAAATTGAAGGTTGCATACATTTTTCAAAACTAATCTCTTCAGGCCTGAGGGACTTTCTCTTCTTGAAAGGTTTTATCATATATTCAATAATAGTAATGAAATTAACTCATTGCTGAATAAAGTTTCCATAAAATCTTTAACTTGTTTTGCCTAATGGGAATCTTAAAGCTTGCAGATTTAACATTTTAGGTAATTTCCTCTCTAAAAAAAATTGGATGCCATATATTAATGTCTTGAATAGTTTCAGTATCATAGCTTAGTAGGAGTTAATCAAACCAAAGGTATGAAACTTACTAATTAAATTGAGAGTGTGGTTTCAAACTTTTGGCCCATATATATATATATATATATATATATATATATATATATATATATATATATATAAAAAATTGGTATGACAAAGTAGGAAAAGTTTTTGTGTGATGTGTTTCGTCTTTTAGGACTTCAGACTAGATGATAATTTTTTTCTACCCACCCCCCTCAATATTGTTCTTGATATATAAAAAATTTATATATCATATTTTATTAGTATAAATGTCATTTTAGTGGGTACTTGTGTTTGAGAAGACATTCCTGTTGGTTTGCAATCTGTAAAATCAATGTCATTCAACCTTGATCCTTGAAAATCTTATTAAAGAAAATGTCTCTCTCAGCAGGTATTAAACCCTGCATTCCTCATTCTTCTGAGAAATCCATCAGAAGGAAATACAGGTCGATTCCCGTTAGAAAATACATTTTCTTTAATAAGATTTTCCATGATATCAGCTGGAAAATATTAATTTCGCTATTTGTAAATAAACAGAGATGTCTACTCAAATGCCCACTAAAAGAATGTTTATAGTGATATGAAATATTGTTTGATTGGAAAAATCCAGTGGTTGCTTAAATTACATATATATGAAGGAGAAAAAAAAAGAAAGGTAAGCTTACCAGGTTGATGCACGGTGAATTTGATGGTGGAGAAAGGTTAAGGGGAGTAGAAGCATCACTACTGGTGACTGAATTGGAAAGTTTTGGATGATAACCATTTGATAACGATCCGTGATCATGAATTTCAATCAAGTCTTCCACACACTAAAAAAAATAAAAAGACAGCAAAAATATAATTTAATTAAATGAATATTTGATAATATTCAAAAACATTTTCTAATTAAAAAAAAATTGTCAGAATGAAAATCTTACAAATACGACCGAGATTTTCAAAATGAAAGCATAAAATTCTCTTTTTTTGACTACCAGAAAGCAAGGATATAATGAAAAAAAAAAAAAAAAAAGCATTGACCAAAGGAATATAAGCCTTATCACCTTCATTGTCAATATTCTTGTAACTTAATGATGTATATATTAAAGAAAGAAAAACATTTATTTTACAGAGCAAATATTTATTTTTCAAAATGATCTCCTTTGTCAATGTACTTAACCCAATACTTCTCCATGAATCACATAAGTTGAACATTATACAGTGAATAAAAGTAACTTATGGTGGTTACAATCAGGATGTTTTTAACAAGATTATCCTGTAGGCTATAAATATGTCCATTTATATTTTTTTTTTTTTTAGCTATCTTTTGAATAAATGATCAAATATTGATCACACTAGTTTAAAGAAAACTGTTGTGGCAGTGTCTCCAGAATGTAATGTTAATGTAACACAAGTGCCGTGTAAAAAAAAAAAAAAAAATAATTGCCATGAGCAAATGCCTGTGTGTGTGTGTGTGAGAGAGACTGAAACTCACCAGTCGTTTTTGGGCTTCCTTTTCAACAGCTTTTAACCGCTCCAATTCTTCTTCTTCCAAATACTCCGCAATGTGGAACGCCTGTGATACAGTCAAGGTAACAGCTTGAGCCTGGAATAACAAAAAAATATATTTTTCAATAATATAGTAATTGTGTCACAATCATGGACGCACATAGGTTTCATTCAATTAAATACTCAGCTGACCCTCGGCCAGTAGTAATTTTATTACTAAAAACAAAACTTTTGCATCACAGGATAATAATAAATAAGGATTTTTAACACAAACAAATAAAACCAAAAACAACTTTACAGAAAAATCTATACCAAACACTGATATAGACTATTAAAGTTGTTAAACATCCAATTCATTCTATTTGAGAAGTAAAGCAACTTTACGGATTTAGGATAATTTTATACAATTCTCTTAAAATAAAAAATAATTATACTAAATAATGCTTTTTGTTTGTTTTGTTTTAAGTGAAAAAGGGGTTAAGAGTTGCTTATATATTTGAAAGTGTTTTCTTTAAATAAGAAGTACTTAGGCAGATACTTACAATCTTTCTTTTTGCACAGACGTATACGTAACACTCCATTGTCTCATTTATTGTGTTGCGAGCAATAAAAGCAAATATCCTTTCATGGTTCCTATCAGCAGTACAGAAGGAAATCCTGCAAAAGGGGGGAAAAATAATAATAATAAAAGATTCAATAAATAATGCTTAATGCAGGCAGATTAATGGTTAACAATAGGAAAAAAAGGAATTGGCAAGTGGAGCTCAAATTTGGGCTGAGAGAGTTTGTTTCATATTAATGACATTGAGAATTCATCTTTCTCACCAATGAGTTGAATAGCAGGGCAGGTTAAGCTCTTTTGCCTTGGGTAGTAACTAGTCTAGGAGAATTAAACTACAAATTCAGAAATGTAGAGAAGGAAACAGTTTGCAGATATTAAAGAAAAGGAAGCTGTGGGGAGCCATGATCACTTATGTCCTGAAAGGATATAGTAATTTACAAAATGTTCAATAAGAAAAATATATGGGAGAGAGAGTGAGTGAATGAGGGAAAATTTAAAGAAAAAAAAAAAAAATTACCTGTAAATACAGACATCAAGTAGCATTTCTTTGCTAATCATGTCACACATCTTAATTCCACGTGGAGACACATTTAGAGCCACTTTCCTCCATTTCTTTCCAGAACTCTTCTCCTAGAGAAAAAAAAAAAGAATTAGAAATGAGTTTAAAATATTTATTTAGTAGAAAAAAAAAAAAAGAAGATAATGTCTATCATTCATAAAAAAATGGGAGTTTAATTATTAAACTCCTTGAACAATGACTAATAAATTAAAGCCATTATTTACACTATTTTACATTTGGACTATTCAGGACAATTGTCCAAATGTAAATGATAACTTTTCATCCTTGAAATTCAGACAGAAATTTAAAGCCACTTTTACTTTTAGTAAATATCCTGGATATAAAAATTAAATTATCTGGCAACAAATGAATTTTTGTTTATGGTTTTATAAAAATCTAATCAAGGCCAAATTAAAATGGAATTTTTAATAAATGTGTGTAGATGTTCCAAAAGTAAACACCATGTTTATTTCCACAAACATGACAACAGCAACACAATAAGATCATTGTATAAACCAAGCTTTCAGCTACAAAAAAACTGTTTTTCTACATTCACATTTTAGGAGGTTAACAGCTGTGCAGGGCAACACAAGACTTCAAAATATTTGCAATATGCAAATAATAGTAATGTTTTTCACATCAATTCCTTTAAGAAAAACAAGTAATAATGGTTGCATTTTCTGTGTATGAGAAAAAAATTTGATAGATTGCTTTGCAACAGTCTTCATGGATGTGTTCATAAATGACTGCTTATTATTAAAATCAACATTCCTCAGCCTGGAAATGTGCATATTTCTCAAAAAAAAAAAAAAAAAAAATTGTGCTTGATCTAAAAGACTGTTTGCTAAAAGCCTGATGAAACATTGAGGACTTGATAGATTTCCCAAGCTCTACCCAAAATTTGATTGTAGTCAGTTAGGGGTCAAGAATATGCCAACTGACTCCTCCCTCACAAAAAAGGGCCACCTAATGCAGGTCAGACCAATGTCTACCTTTTTTGATCCTCAAGCAAACAAAACCTATGTCTACATGTCATTGATCAAAGATGACAAAACCTATGTCTACATATCATTGATCAAACATGACAAAACTCAGTATTAAATAATCTGGAAAAGGTTGATATACTGTAAAACAAATGAAACCAAAATTTGATACAGTCATACTGCTTGAATTTGTCAACTATTGTGGATGTGTGGGTGGTAGAGTAGATAGCAACTCACAACATGGAATCAGAGAACTGAGTTTGAATTCCAGTTGAGTTCATTACATTCACTTACATACAAATACTCTTGCGAAAGGTATGAATCCATCTCTTCTCTTCCTAGCTATCGATTAAATAGTAAAACTTGTATATGGAAAAATCATTGTCATCTCAAGAAAATTATTCTTACAATTCAAAATATGTTTCAGCTTTAAATAACCTCCTACAAAGGGTTGATAAACAAAAAAACAAATTCATCATTTGATCACTCAGCCATTCCAATACATTACAAAACCATGTGTACTAGTTGAACACAAGTACTTAGCACAAAACTGATTGACAGAGTGACTCAGTAGGTTGGGTAGCAATTAGCTGCACATGCAGTTCTCTTGATTGGTAAAAATCACACAACATGCAATACAGGAACTTTCTAATATCACCTCATATGACACAAGGAAGACAGTGATGGTAAGAAAACATTGTGACATAATGTTTCTGATGAGATTTGCATGGACAGTTATAACCACATATCAACAAGTCCTTGGGTACCTGGCTCAAATCATGCATGGAAAAATTCTCCATATCAGCTGATAATGGGGAGATGGCCAAATCAGAATCACCCAATTGGGTGGAGGAAAAACAAACATTGTTTGATTGTTGTCTCGCAATAAAGTCAGTCGGAAGAGATGGGTGGAGGCAGAGATTATGATTTTGCTACTTAAAGCTACTATGGCCACCGCTGATGTGTGCAGAGTCAGTTGGTGGGTGGGGTTTATAGGACAGGTTATTATGTCAAGGTAAGAGTCAGCCGACACAAAGACACTTTCGTTTCAGAACTACAGCTAACCTTTCCTAATTACCAGCGTTTCTTAAAACGTTCTTACATGAAAAGAGCCATTCTAAGTTTAATTATTTCTTACAGTTATGTTATCATTACAAATAAATCCTACAAAATTCAAATATATGAATAAATACTAATTTCTAATCTGCACATAAGTATTGTTGCAGTATGCAAGAAATTGAACAGAAGAAGACAAAACAACATATGCAAAAGTTCACTTGAAATAATATTGATCAGATGTGAACAGTTTAGGCAGAGAGACATGCTCATGAAACACCCTGTCAGAAAAAGCACTCTTCCCCTAGAAATATCATAACCTTTAACACACACAGAGCAATGAAAAGATTTATTTATGAATCAATGTATCTGTGAAACTTGAAGTCAGTCCTAAGATAAGTCTTAAAATTTTCCTTATTTTAATGATTCTTGCTCCATTTTTGATATTGAACCTTCTTTGCAAGAATCTTACAAGAATACTTTTCTTTTACAAGAATCTGCTTGCCTTTAATCATATTAAATTTTAATAATTCACTTGTTTTTGTTAGGCATAAGAGATCATTATTACACACACACTATGACTGCGATTTTAACACAATGTCCAAGAGAATATGGACATTATGAAAACCCTAAGAAATAGTTCATACTTTGGTTTTTTATTTAATAAAATTCATTTTAAAAATAGGAGGATGGAATTTGTAATTGTATAGTGTATCATGCTCTACCGTAGGAGTCAAAAAACTTAGTTTCATATAATGACCTTTTATATGACATTTTGAGAGATAAAGCTACAGTAGGATATAACTATAAGGTAATGGAATAGGAAAAGTTGCTTGATAGGTAGGGTATAAGAATGCAGAGGAAAAAGTTCAACATAGGTGTGAACTTATCCTTTTTTCAAAATGATAATGTAGTCATTAAAATGAGGCCAAAAGTTAAACAGAAACAATGGGCTTGGCAAAAATAATGTAGGAATTTCTTTCTTTCTTTCTTACATGCTCTTTCTTCATGCTTCCTGTAATCAGCTAAAATACAATGGCACCTACAATTGGTGACAGATCTTTTGAAAGATCAATTTTATACTAGATTATCTCATGGATTAGAAATATATAATTTTATAAAAGATTTAAAACTAAGTGTTAACTGGTAGTCCATTTTTATTGTTGGAAATGAGCAACAGGAATTTTGCATTTCCAAACAGGATTTAAAGAAACCACACCTTGTACTTAGGATTAATTATTTAATTACAAGGAACAACTTGTCAACTGTGGAAAGTAAGTACAAAGACAAAGCAAGGTTAATCCAATAAAATAAATATTAAATTCTTGGTACAAAGATTAAATAATCTAATTTCATTTTCATTACAGTTTAAATAGTGGAAAGAACAAACAAGATTGGATATTGCAAGCCCTTCAAAATATCCCAAGTATTCTGGTATTTCAACATGGTATAATAGGTAAAGAAATTAAATGTACCAAAATATAAATACCAATATGGAAAACAGTAAAAATATTAACTTTTTAGTACCACTAGTGGAATATATTTTAAGACACTTTTTTATACTAGACAAACATTAATTGTATTTTAACATGATGTGTAAGCACACATTATATTTTAGTCTTTTCCATGTATATTATTGATAAAGTAATAATAAAAAAAAATGCTTGTCTAGTATAAAAAAAAATATGTATCACTAGTAGAACAATGGACACTAAAACATTTATGTTTGATTGATTGATTTGTTTATTTATGGCTTATCAACCCTTTGTGAGTTATTTAAAGCTGGAACATATTTTAGATTGCAAGAATAACTCATTTTTTTTTTACAAGTGAACATTACATTAAGAATTTTTTGAGAATAACAATTATTTTTCTAGGTACACGTCCTACTATTTAACCCATAAGTGGGGGCAAGAGATGGGTTCATACATTTCCCAGAGGTATTTTCCTGTAAGGGAATGTTACAAACCCAACTGGAATTTGAACTCAGCTCTCCAATTTCTTATTCTGAGCCAATATCCACTAAAAGGTTAATGAAAGGTTAGTTAATTTGACAATGAGTGAAGAGAGACCAAAGAGAAGAGGATTAGTAAATAGAAAAAGGGTTGCACTTACCATGGAGATTACTCTTTGGATAGCCTTTGTGCTAATGCCATCACCATAACTTTCACCATCTGAGATTTCCTCAACTAAAGTTGAGCCAAGATACTTCAGGTAAAATGTCATTCCTTCATTTAATGTTTCATTGTTCTCACCCCATTTGTCATGCAACTCTGGAAAAAAAAAATGAAAGAAGCTGTATAGAATCAGGTACAACAACCCATTAAAATGATCAATGCTATAAAAACAGATATATTAAAAAAGGAGAAGAGGAAATTGAACAAAAAAATACAGCATAATAAATAGCAATACAAAAAGAAAGAAAAGATTAAAAAAATTATTAGAAACAGCTAACCGGTTTTATCCCTTTCTCATCAGAGCTTGATTGAGGCATTAGAATAATGTTCCCAATGACTAAAAGAAGGGTATTGAGGATAAGTATCAATAATATATTGACACACAAACTTCTGCTATAAACAGATCACATTAAGGCCCAACAAACATTCATTTGTTTATACAAAAAAGGCTGTCTTGATTTAATAAAGATTGTCTCAAGAACTTTTAGAAGAAAGTCAAAATGTGATCAAATCAATACAGAAAACATATCCTCATGGAAGGTCAATGTGCATTGCCAATTATTAACAAAATGTTCAGAGATTGCAGAACTGAATGTAAGAGAACACTTATGCAAATTTTCAAGTTGACCTTTCCTAATGTTTGCTAGCACATTATGGGCACTTCTCTTTTCTAATAAATGGAGGGACCTACCTATGTAGTCAGCTTCACTGACACTTAAATTGATAAATACTGTATGTTTTAAATTTTCTCTTTTTATAGCATTGATTAAATTGTGTACCTCCACTGAGATCTTTGACAGTAGATAGATCACTTCTCTATTCAATAACAGTAATTTTGTAAAACAAGTCATTTCATGCCTTTTAAGAACTTCTATAAATTAAATTAATAAACCAGTCTTTTTTACTCTGATGATTAGAACATTTCAAATGTATGTTGCAAAATTTGTTGGTTTTTATATTCCTGTCTTTTAAGTTATTCAGAATAAATACAATTTACATAATTTACCAAAAACATTATCACTCAATATTTACAGATGGAAAATTACAAAGTAATAAAAGATATTGATGTGAAAAGACTGGAAACCAACTCTAAAATACTATGAACAACAGGAAGACATATTGGCTCTTAAAAAATTAAAAATGTTTTATTTGGAGGGTTAAAGATAGAAAGTTTTTGTAGTTTGTAAAACAAGAAATATTTACAGGAATCTCATTTTATGAAACTTGTTTTAGTAAATTATCTGAATTTAATGAAAAGTGAGAAAAAAAGCAGTAAAGTAATTTACTTCTGTTTATTTAAAATTAAATGTAATAAGGCATTTATACAAAAGTCATCTTTTTGAAGTGGAGAAAATGACCCATTCGAAATAGTTGAAATGTTAAAATGAATATAGCTTAATCTCTTATACAATTTAGTTTGAAACAGTTGTTTATAAGTGTTAAGGCTTAAAGAAAGCAGAACTGAAAATGCTTTTTAAATTATAGTGAAAATTTAATTTTTACTGCACAAAATCCAGTACAAAAATATTGCAAAAGACATGTCAATTTTAGAGTATTCTGTTTTTAAAAATATCTAGATATTTGTTAGTTCATGTAAAAAAAAAAAAATAAAGAAACAAAACAATTTTATATTTTCCAGTTTTAGTTTATAACTAAATTCAAAGTGATCAGATTGTGTATATTTTCCTGACATTTTGATATGCTGAAGTGAATTTAAATATTTATGAATACTGTTATGCAATGTCATCTCAAAGATATTTTAACTGTACACTTGTACCCCAAATATAAACAAAATGTCAAGTCAAATAGAAGCAGAAAAGTCATGTCTAGCATTTGACTTTATGTATTTTTACTAACAATATTATGAAGAAAAGGAATTTGAGAAGGATAAATTTCATTGGTTATTCCCTTGCATTTCTTGTTCTGAAAAGCAGTCAATATGGAGAATGGAAAGAGGGTTATAAACATTCTCACAGCCTAAATACAATTTTGTTTACATATACAAATATGAAATGTGTCCAGTTCTTAAAGACATGACCTTGCTACTAGCATAGAAATTTTTTTTTAAAGTAACCCAAGCATACAATGTTAATGTCTTGGCAAAATGGTTTAAAAATGGGAATATTAAAAAAGTACAACTGAACAAAATGACATCTTAATGTGTTACTTAATACATCAACAAATTTCATGTTAACTTAAAAAAAAAAAAATAAAATACAAAGGATTAAAAAGAAAAAAAAATGAATGTTGGGTGAATGAAGCTCAAACTTTAAACTAAATTTATCTTGCAAAATGAACATGATCTAGTCCATAATGCAATATTCTTAAACAATTATAGAAGAAAGTTTGATCCTAGGTCTGTGGCAGGAAAATCTCAGCTCATCTTAAACTGTAGTAAATTCAACTATATTTTAAAGATCATATATTAAGTTAGGCATGTTAAAAAGAAAGAGCTCATATTTAAATAGTTTGATCATTTACAAGTCTTAACAGATTAGCAAAAGTAAGATTATTACTTAATACATTAATTCAGCAGTTGTTATCCATAATTCAGTCTCAGAGTTTACCCTCTCGAATGTTTTTAACCTTTTTCATGATAATCTCTCAAGTAATATATCCACCACACTCCATTTTTGCTAACAAACTTAAAGGATTATAAACAAAAAGAAATGTATTGGTTAAATCAATTCAGAGCAATCTTAATATAAATGGAAAATTATATAATTTATTCTTGATTTTTTAAATTTGATAAAACAAAATCATTTTCCTGTAGACTGATATCTTGTCAAATATAAAAAGAAATTAAATTCTTAGAAACCAAGATGAATGCACTATTTAACAATGAACCAATATCTAAAGAGAAACATGGCATTTTTAGGCTCTATATTTGATTTTCAAATATGGTCACAGTTTATGAGAGAAATTATTGAATATGAACATTTAAAATGCTAACTGAAATTCACTGATCAGAAGAAAAATAAACTATAGGTTTTTGGTTTAAGAGTTCTCCGTTACAAATTTAAAGAGAAAAAAGTTTATATGGATCTGAATATTTGATTTCTCAGTTATGTCTAAAATGCATAGCCTCAATGTTTCTAAATGAAACTCCCCCACACAATTAAAAGATTAAATTTTTTTTTTCTTGCTTGTTGATTATTGTTTTTTTATCAGAGAAAAATAATGTTGGGTGGGTGGGGGTCTACTGTGTCTACAGAAACTCCTTTTGTCAGTTACTACCACCTGATGGCATTTACAGAATTTCACCCACAATCATAAATGTACTTGATTTTATAAATAGATGCAAAAGAGCTGTTTTCAAAGTAAAATTTATTCCCCTACAAACAGGCAGATTATATGCGATCATGACAGGCACTAAACTTAGAAATATATCAAGTTTTTTCTCTCCTCCAAATTACAAGATGAATTACCAAATGTGTAGGTAGGTAGAACACTAACAGAAAAAAATACTATAACAATAATTTGTTTTAAAATTTAAATCAAGTTTAACAAGTCTTTATTTTTGATAGTAACAAATACTTTATCATTTATGGGGAATTTCTAACTACGAGTCATTGATGGACATGCAGAAAAGAATCAAAAGAGCATTTAAAAATGATTCTTCTTTTCGGCATTTCCATTTTCTGCTATATTACAAAATAAAATTTATTTTTAAGTAGTAGAGTGCATGTTTTAGTTGCTTCAGGACGTAGGCGTTCATGATTCTCCACGACTTCTTTTTCTTTAATATCTGTGAATTGTCACGACTTTTTATTGGGAAAGAATAGTGAGGTGAGGTGGTTTCCCGTTGCCTTCTTTACGGTTTTGGATTCGGAGTTGTCCTCGTCGTTATTGAACAAGGCTCGAGAGTCTCTATTCTTGTCTGCCATTTTTTAACTCATAGCTGGGTGTGGGAGAGATAGATTCATGCCTTTCCCAAGGGCAACAGCACGAAATAAACGTTGGTCAGAATGTGAACTCGGCGAGTCGAATCCACTTTCCACCCGATAACTGTTCAAATGTTACACCACCTGATTATCGTTAATATTACAGTGAAAATCCCTTAATAAACCGAGTAAGAAGACTCTTTGGGGTGAGTTATTTTTCATGTCTAAAATCTAACGGTTGCTATAGGGCAGACAAAGATATAAAGAACAAGGTATGGGATTTTTTTTAGCATTCATAGGGAGCTCTAGTGAATGCGACTAGGGTAAAAGAAGACACATTTTATCACCGACCCACCATTTTATGAATGTAAAGACCGTTGGAGGGGTGGGAGTAAAAAGAAGTAAATGACATTCACAGAGTTCCCCTTCCATCTAAACATCAATTAATACATTTAAATATCATTTTTCGACAGACATGTAAAATCAAGTTTTTTTTTTAATTAATCATTTTGCTCGAAGTTGAAAAGGAAAAAAAAAAGAAGAAAGCTTTAGTTCCACCCACACATTGACACTTGATAGTTAAATAGAGAAAAGGGGAACGAAGAGAAAGAATGTGAAAGAGAGAAGAGAAAGGCAAATGAATTCGAAAGAGTGGATAGTATCGTTAGAAAGAGAGATTGGAATGATATGGCGTGATTATAAGCTCTTTCTTACTACACCAATGGTTGAGCCACACGAAATTATACACTGCCGTTTTCACTGTTATTGTTATTACATTAAAAGAGGTGATTGAAAAATGTAAAATCCTAATTAAAATAAAAGGAAAAAATTAATTTTTAAAAAGCTAGTGAATTCATCGGGATTTTTCAAAAAGATATTTTGACATTTTTTTAACACAAAATGAAAAATGCAACCAGTGAATAGTTTGAACTCTCAAAAAAAAAAAAAAAAAAAAAACTTGATTAGTTTTTTAAAGTATTTTTTTAAAAAATCGTTATATTTTGTTATGTGACACACCTTAAAGAGAGCCTTTACACAATAAAAGTGAAACTACAGCTGTAATTTTTTACGGGTACTTAAAAAAATAACATGTATGATTCATTGAGTACATATTTATTCTGTTCGACTATAGATCAATTAAAAGAGCAATAAATATACTAATAACATTATCTAAACAAGTTGCTAAGTCATGTAACAAAAAGAAAGAAATTTGGGTCAACCATGCTTTCTTTCTTTCAAGTTCGCGACATTAAAAAAAAAAAAACTATGAAAATAATGTATCTCAAAAACGTATTTATTACTAATAAATATTTAAAATAAGATCGTTCTGTACTGTTGAACAAAATAAACGATGATGAGAATATTTAAATCCGTTTGTACAGTGGAAACAGTCAAACGGCGATCGTTTGAAAAGAGGAAGGTGGCCCTCCTTCAGCTGCTACATTAACAACAACAACTCTGGATCATTATCAGACGTGGCCCAGGAAGATCGTAAGATATTATGACGTTTTTATCTTGGTGTAGTAGTCAGCAAGAGAAACACTCCCGTAATTCTCACGGTCATTCAATCCTTATCAAGACACATATATATATATATATATATATATAATATTTTCGGAGTACTATATATATATATATATATATATATATAAATAAAAGATTATTATTTAAGAAAAAAGGATGAAACGACCAATCGACTAATAAAAAGTGTTAGTTAATGTTTTGTATATTTTCGAATCAGCACTTTATTGAATGTGAGAGCCAACACCCTTTAGCAAATGTTTAACTTTTTTAATTAAATTGAAAGAGTGGTAAATTTTAGATTCCAATGAGGTGAGAAGCTCAGATGAGATTTTAACGATTTTTTTAAATGCAATTTAGCTTGTAAAGAATAATACATACCTCATGTCAATTACGATATACGAGTATTATTCGTTGTGAATGTAAAATTTACTTCAGTACTTACACTCCACAAACATACAAGTTTTTTTTTAATATAATGATTTTAATTAATTAAAAAATAAAACACATATCTATTTTAAGAAAATCAGATTTTTAATTAAAAACAATAAATAACACTTTTTTTTTTTTTGTAAAGTGTCATTAGGTAAAAAAATGTGAAGTTATGCACATGAAGACATTTTTTGTGGTTGCATGTTTTTTTTAGCTCGTCTTTGATAGAAAAAAATATTGCAACAGTGGATTCTTTTACATTCTCAATATTTGAAATTATTTTTAAAATTCGCGTATAAAGCATCAAATGACAAAATAATTATTTTCATAAGAAGAATCATTATTAATAATAATTGTCAGCTTTTTTTTTTTTTTTTTAACAGAAGCATAAAAAAAATGTTATGCAAACAATGTAGCCTATGGCCAATAAGAAAGATAGTAGACATTCCGAAGGGAAACTGATCCCCTTCGTACTGATGCGGGTGGGAAGGAGTCAAGGACTCAGCAAACTCAAACAGCATTTGGTTTGCTCAGGCTTCTTGTTTCATTATCTTCACCTCCCTTAGCAGCAGCAGTAGAGTGAATTGACGACATTCTAGTCCAACCCGGCGACATACAAACATCAAGACATTTCTCTAGCAACTGTGGCGCCAAGGCTTAAAAAGATGTCAAACATCTCATCTGTACAATTTAAATAATCACTCGGTAGCTGTTATTAGATTCGGCATTTTAAATTGTCAAAGAGATTATTAAAGCAATTTTGTAATTGAAGGTTAGATGTGACACATCATTTATTTAATAATTTATATTAAGAATTTAATACAGTTTAATTTGTATATTTATTTATTTACAAACCATTTAAGTTGATGGAAAAGAAAATTTGGTTTTATTACCAAGCATTTACTTTTTTTTCTTCTTTTTTTTTTTTTACAATGAATGAATACAAAAACAAATGTTCATAATAATTATTATAATGAACAGGTTTCTAATAAATTGAGTATTCAAAAAAATGTTACAAATTTTTAAATGTTGGAATAAAAAACTGACAGCTTTTTCTTTCATAGTTCTTAATTTTTTTTTAAATTGTCATCTACTTAAATTCAAAGTTAAACTTTCTCTACGCGTAAATTATAATAAATGTAAGTCTTATAAAATTAATAATTAAATTGTCATGATTTAACAAACAATAAAAAAGGGCAGATTATGAAAGTTAAAAAAATATTTTTTTTTTAATTATTTAATTTTGCATAAATTAATTAAAAATCTAGGTTTGTTACTTATTTAATTTAAAACTATTTCACTAACTGTATTTATTCACAACTAAAAATAGCATTTTTTATTCATAAAATATTGATATTTTTTTGTCAGTTACAAAATAAAATTTGAATTTTAAGCAGAAGTGCAAAAAAGTCATTAAGTTTCTAACCTCGTGCTAAATCTCTGATCATTTTAATTTTAAAAATCTGTTCATTAGTAAATTTTAAAAAAAAAAAAAGTCAGTAAAAACTGCCAAATACATCAAAATCTTGTTTTTTAAAGATTGTCAAAAAGTTCGCAGTGAAGAAAAAGCAAAAAAAAATGCCGGTGCTTGTAAGATGAGTGTATGTATGTGTATATGGGAATTAAATGGAAAGTGTGTATGGGGGAATACTTCTAAGTGAGTGTTAGTCTGTAAGCCATTGAGGACGTGCGTGTTTTTGTTGAGGAAAGCCTGGGTTGGTTGGCTGGGAAAGATCACGCCACTCGCCTCAGCTTGCATAAGTAGCATCGGCTGATGAGCTGGGCTCCTTTCACTATTTACAATGCATACACTGGCTACAATATTGAACGCCCATACTATTCTACATTCATTTACATCTGCTGATTTTAAATTTTTTCATTTTTTTTAACTTTTATTTTAAATTTTGAAAAGAAACATGAAAATAATAAGCAAAAATAATAAATATTATTAAATTAGCTAAACCGATCTAAAAAGCAAAATATTGAAGACGATCTTCTATTTTTGTTCATTGTTAAATTTTTGACAACATTTTTTTCTTTAGATTCGGATTTCTTCTTTCTTAAATGATAAAAGTAAGTAAAGGAATATTGGACTCCAAAAAGAAAGAAAGTCAGAAATAAGATTAAAATAAATCATAATATATTAACGTTTTATTTTGTTTCGATTTGTAAAATTTATCAACAGTGAAGTTGGAAAAAGACCCGGCATTATGTTGCTCGTCATTATTGCACACACAGATCTTTTTAAAACAAATATCCAGGTAGGAATTGAATGCTCATCAAGCTAAGGGTTTAGAAAAAAGAATAACAAACACTGTTATTTATTGATCTGATTGTTTTTATGCGGAAAAACGATAAAAACATTATCTTTTTTAGAAGCGGGTTGGCATGGACGAACAACGTTCAACATGATAGCCAGTAGCTGATTTCCTGACTGCGGCAAACAAACGCGAAGATTTATAAGTACGCTTAAAAACAAACATTACACCTCAGTAATCGGCAAAATCTAGACAAAAGGTTATGACAGAAAAAATAATTAAAAATGTAAAATACAAATGAAACCAAAAGGGTAAAATAATGCCGGTAACTAAAACTACAAACTACTAACAACACATGTTAATGAATGCAATTCCCCGACCCTTCCTTCCACCTCCCAGTTACCTCATTTACAATTATTCAAAGATGTATTTTGACCCTTCTAGAGGGACTGGAGTGAAAATCTGACCAGTTGGGTCTTCCTTGGGTGATTATGAAGCGAATGCGATAGAAATCGAGGGATAAATCAGCTAAAATATTATTAGAAATCAGCTCGAACGAATCGAGTGTTCCTATTCGTAGATAGTATCGTACGAGCGGATCAGGCCACCAAAAAGGGGAGGGAGTCTCACGCCATCCGCTTTGATGAGGTACTTCACAACCGGCTTCTTTTTAACAACAAAAGCTGTTAATATCCAGTAAATAAAACTAAATGCTTCAAATATGTGACCAATTTGCAAGTTCAATATCTAAGGTTTGTTGTTATTAAAGTTTTCAATCGGTACCGGGATACAGTTACAAGTCTTTGGCACTTAGTACGAACAAAGTCAGTGCTTTCTTTTCGCTGCACCTTATCCATAAGGTGATATTTTTCATAATTTAAAATAAAAAAAAAAACAATACATCTAAACTTTTATAAGTAAACGACAAATCCTTTAGCTGGAAATATATACTGTGTTGACAATTTAAAGTTGTCCTTTGCGTGGAAAATACAAAAGAGTGTAAAGACCGACTGTCACCGATTAAGAACTAAAAACATTTTTACTTAAATTTTTCTTTTTCTAATGAGGATTTGATGTTAAACTGATAAACATTTAAAATATCAGGAAGAAATGATTATTAATAATAGTTTGATTTTCTTCGAAACATTCGAGATACAGGTGTGTAATGATTAATGAATGATGCACTGAAATGAACATAATATTTTTTCGTAATGTGTAAACAAATGAACGACAGATTTAGATTTAGATAGCAAGAATGAAAAATAGGAGAAAACAATAAAAAAAGGAAAAATAATGAATTTTTAACTTACTCTGGTGGCGAGACTTGTGGAAAGAGTTGAAGACAGTCGGGCTCTTACGTACAACTCTAAATAAGACATCCATTTCTTCACAAATTAATCAAACAATTATACCAGGTAAAATATATATATATACGTACACACAGCAGTATAATGCTATGTAATAAAAGTAAAATATAAAAGGGTAGTCGGTTTGTAAAGGTAGAAAACACAACCGGCTCTTGACCCTATGTTAGCTGGAATGCCGCTTTTTCGGTATTGTCAGAATGTTACAAGGCGAGACGTCAATCAATTCCATATATGGGCAAAAGTAGGCGGTCCCATTCCGACCGATGCTAAAAGATGAATGGTTCAGAGAAAACACACGATATGTTTCGGAGCAGAAATATTTTCATACATTCCCACTGCTGCTGATAAAGCATTATCACCAGCAAAATTATTACTATTATTAACAAAATCAAGCTCATTATTACTGTTTATTTCAACAACTATTTAAAAAAATACTTTTCTTTAATTTGATATGCTTTGCTGACATTGAAGAAAGTATCGTTAATACTACACTACAAACTTATACACTCAGAAACTGTATATATGCAGAGGTACACACACACATACACATTTATACAGAAAATACAATCACTTCTTCTTGTGTCATTGTACACCACACAGTATATATATATATATATATATATATATATATATATATATATATATATATATATATATATAAACACGTAAAATAAATAAAACACATTGTAGTTAATATGCATTTGCACAGGTGTCACTCGGAGTATTTTATTGACCACACACTGTTGTACTGTAGTGTAATGTACACTACAGTGTACACCAATACACACACATTACACATGCGTTACACTACACACTTAACCTGTACATATGCATGCATGGATGCACGCACGCACACAAACACATAGGTTCAAAAGGTACACATATAACGATATACATGTAATTGCCAGAGCGTACGTATGTGTATGCGCGTGTGTATAAGAAGGAAAATAAAATATTTTTCTGACCTTTTCCTAAATGTGAAAGAGAGTGTACACAAAAGTGAACTCGAGTTAAAATATTAACTTGAGACGGAAGCAAAAGCCGGCTACTATTGTGGAGTGGCGTGACTCGTACGCATTGACAATGCAAATTATATTATTATTATCGAATTTATTGAGAAAAAAATTCCTTTACACAGGATTCGAACTCTCTCAATGCTCCCTTCCCTACTTTATTCTCACTAGTCCAAAAGCCTTTTTTATATTTTTGTTTATTTTATGTTTTTTAATGCCATTCATGCCAAAGAAAACTAAAAGATAATGAAAGCTTTGGAAGGTTTTGGTATCCTAACATTTATAAGTGATGTGCATTAGCATTTTGTCCAGATCCATTTCCAGTGGATGAAGAAACATCAAAATTAGCACATTGATTAATCCTTTGACTCGTAGCTATCATCCAGAATGATACACAATTTCTATTGTTTGGTGCATTGTAGAGATCTTTCTTGAAGAACACCACAGGCTGGAACTGCAGCAAGGACAGCACTTCATTAATCAGCATGTTGACACCATGGAAGAACCTGCATTTCTGATATAACTTCACGGCTGGAAAGAAGTGGACTTCAGATTGTACCAGGTTAGAAGAATAGGTGGAATGTTAAAGAATTTTGTGGCCACAAGAGTGTGCTTCCATTTGTGCCACATGGGTATTGTATATTAGTGCCCTGTCTTACAAGATTCAAACATCTTTATATCTATGAGTTTTGATGGCTTCCTGTAATTTTAACAGCAATGAAGTATGATTCCAGTTATTGTTGTTTCTTTGGCCTGGAAATCTATAAGCACCATATTGATTTCGTCTTAAGCATCCTCTTGCCAGCAAAGGGTTGAATACATAGCTCATTGCATAGTGGTGGTGGTGAATGACTGCTTTTATTGTTTGAAATACACTTTAATCTTTGGATGAAAATGATGAACCAACATTACATCCTGCGTATTTAGCTGGGTGAAAATGTAATTTTGGTTTTACTGACACAAGGCCAAAATTTAATGGGAGCAAATGAATCTAGCTTCCTTCTGGAAATAAGTGACCAATCATGTTAAACACTTTCCGCATATGTGAGTGTTCTTTTTCTATAGATCTTGACTCTGTCCATTCGTTCTGCAATTTTTTTATGCAGTCATCTCCTAAAATATCAGTTTCCATTTGTTGGATGGTGTCATAATCAATGGTTGACTGGGGGTAGCTGGGAATAGGGATGGTGTCCACCGAAGCCTAAAACCATTCAAAAATCCACAACCATTATTTATCATTATAGGATGGAGCATCTGATCCATACACTGCTGTTTTCTTCTCCAAAATTTCCTTTGGACTGTTGATCTTTCAAAAACAACAACCTGATTACAGCTCTGTACTTTATAAACTCTACAGTTACACCTTACTGCACATTTACACTTGAAACACAAAAACATTTATTAATATGAGTCTGTATATTGAAGGGATGTGTGGGTGGTGTATGGGATAACGACTTGGAATAAGAAATCAAAGAGAGATGAGCTTGAATTCCAGTTGGGTTTGTTATATTTACTTATGCACAAATACCCTTGGGAAAGTTGTGAATCGATTTCCTCCCCCAGATATGGTTTAAGTAGTAGATGTATCTGGAAAAATCGTTGTTATTCTAAAAAAATTGTTAACGCAATATTCACTTGCAAAAATAAATTATTCTTACAATCCAAAATATGCTTTGGCTTTAAATAACCCACAAAGGGTTGATAAGCCATAAAAAAAAATGAAATTAAAATCTGAAAATTGAAGTAAATTCCATGTATGTATGCCTGTTTCTAAATGTGCAATTTCAACTTTCAATGCTTATTGGAAGTGGGGCAGGACAAATGTTTAATGAATTCCTACCTCATAAACATTACATGTTAATCTACAACTATTTCTGGGTCATGACAACAACCATGGTGATATTTGAACCCAGGTCTCATGTCGCTAACATTTTGACCACTTGGCCAAGAGCCCATTTCTAGTACATAATAACACTATTGGAAGGTGCATCCGATCCATACATTGCCATCATCTCCTAAAATTGTTTGTGGTGTGTTGCCTTTCAAAATCAGCAACTTCATTACAGCTGTCTATTTCATGGTCACACCTTACTGCACAGTCAGACCTGAAACTCAGAAATATTTATTAATATGGATTTGAAAATTGAAGTTTATCCCAGTTATGGATGCACAAATGTGTTATTTTATCTCTCTATAATCATTGGAATTGTGGGTCAAGACAATATCATACTCTGGAGTGAGTGTTTCATAATTTAATCTGAACATTATGGATCAGACTCTAAAATGGCATCTATCCATTGCACTAAGTAAAAAAGAAAAGAAAAAAGAAGGCATTGCCTGCAGTAAATGTTAAATATTTTATCTTAAGAAAGTTTTTGGTGGCCTCACAATAAAACTAATTGGTGTGATTCTAAAAGTGTGTAAGTCAATATACACCCTTTTTTTTGCTTTTCCATTTCTGAAATGAATAAACTGATCTCTATAACAATGACATAGACAATATTCTGATACAAAGACTTTTTATGAAGTTAGATGTTAATTATTTAAAAAAATCATATGTAAAAAGGGTGGATGTTAAGTTAGGCCCTTTTCAACATTTTTTTTCTCATTTCACTAAAAATGCACTTACACCATTTTAGCATCACACTGATAAAATCTACAACTGGTCTCTCCATCTAAATCTTATCTCTGGTAGTCACTGATGTGTCACTGGGTTTTTATTTCAAAGGAGTGCGAGAAAAACTCAGATTTTAAAAATGTACAAACACTTTAGCTTTTTACCTGTCATGAAATCCTAATAAAGAAATAAAAAAAGTAAAAGAGTCTTTTTAAACAGAAATAATATTTTTATAATGTGGAAAATTATATTTACTTAAACTGTAGTTTAAATACAATCTATTATAATGATAATGCTACTGATAATGATCATGATAATAATAACAGTAATGATAATGGTGATGATAGTGATTAATGATGATGATAATGATAACAGTAATGATAATAATAATAATGGTAATGATATTGGTGATGATTATGATAATAGTAATGATGATAATGATAATAGTAATAGTACTGACAATAGTATTTGTAATAATAATGGTAACTGTAAAGATAATGTTAAAAAAATTAAATAATTTTGTTATACATTTCTAACTAAAATAATAGTTGTGTATGAAACTTTACTAAAATAACTGTGAAAAGAAGTTTATGATGATAATTTTGGAAGCTATTAATTTTGCAATGAGTGACTCAAACCTGTAGCCTTGTGCCAAACTAGGCTAAGCTTAATAAATATCAATAGATTTTGGTGGTGATGATGTGATTTTAAAATTTGACATTTACTATCACTCCTTTTTAAAGATCATTTACATTGAAATTCCTATCCTTTTATATTGACATACAAAGGGAAATCATTTTCTAATGACAGGGGGGATCAAAGTTTGCACCTGAGTGAAAATTAAGTGGGAGGCAGTTATTTAAGGAAAAAAGTTCTGAAAATGGTTCTACTGGTTCATCTATAAAAAATGTTTTCTGCAACTGATTCCTTTGCTAAAGAGTTTCTTTATAAATAGATTTATCTGCTAACACACACTCACACACACACACTAATAATTGTTAAAATTTGTTCAATATTATATTTTTAGTTTGAAATTTTATAATTGAAGACAACAAAATTGACTGAAAATACCTGGAGAAATAATAATAATAATAATAAAGATATTTATAATTTTGAATCATCAGTAAAAGTGTGTAAGAAATAAAATACTTAAGTATAAAATACTTAATATGTCTGTGGCTTAAAAGCAAATATATATATATATATATATATATATATATATATATATGGATTAGAATCTGACAGAATGATAGGATAACAAACAAATAGAAAATATTTAAACATGTTAAATTTATAAATGTGTTAAACATGTTAAATTTATAAAAGTTTCATATTTGTTCCATATCCTATATTAGGTGTACTTGGCAGCAATTTTTCATTTATACA